AAGAATAAAGACGTGAAAGCACTTTTACAGGCAAGCCCTATAAATATCCAGAGGAGTAGCTACAGGAACCTATGTACATATTAAAGTAGCCCAATGCCATGTGCATAATAGTAATTAAATGCTTATTATATTCTTCTAGGACAACCTTCAACAACCTACTGGGTCAGCAATATAAGGAGGAAATCAGAGGGTCTTAGAATTGGAAAATAGCTTATTTTTCTATTACTTTTCAAATCTCTGAACGTCCTCTGGAGTTAGAAATACAATTTCATCACAACCTAGCACACGCACAATCTATTTTTGAGAACTGTCTATTTTGATACACGGGACTGAATTCATTCCCTATAATTGCTATACAGAACCACATTTTATTTAGTCAGTTCTCTATTAATAAGCAGAAAGAGCCTGGATCATGCATGTGTGTGTGCATATACACACATGCACACACACATGCATGATGTTGAAACCAAAGCTTCACAAAACAATAATATCCTTATATATGCGCAATGCACTTCTCCCTATATATTTGTAAAATAGCAGAAAATAGATATGTTTATCTGATCCCCCAGTTCCTGGCACAGAGCTCCTAAAACCCTTGGAATTTCCTGGGTGATAGGAACATCACTTATTCTAATGAGGCAAGTCTTGGTGGGCTCCTGAATAGTTGCAGGATGGGGGCTGGTCACCAGAAAGACCAAGCTCTGATGAGAAGTTTGGAATTTATAATCCATTCCCCATCATTTGGGAAGGGGCCAGGAATAGAAGCAGAGTAAACAATCAATCATGCTATGTGAGAAAGCCTCCATAAAAACTCCCAAAGCACAATGTTCAGAGAGCTTCCAGGATGGCGGACACATCTGCGCGCCGGGTTGGTGACACACCCCCACGCCCCGGGGACAGAAGCTCCTGCGCTGGGAACCCCTCTGGGCCTTTTCATATATACAATCTTCATCTTCCTATTTATCATATTCTTTTCTTTAAAGTTTTTATTTATTTACTTTCAGAGAGAGGGGAGGGGAGAAGAGAGGGAGAGAAACATCAATGTGTGAAAACTACATTGATCAGTTGACTCTCACACCCCTCCCCCAACTAGGGACCTGGCGGGCAGCCCAAGCATGTGCTCTGACTGGGAAGGGAGCTGGCGACCTTTCAGTTCAGAGGCCGGCACTCAATCCATTGAGCCATGCCAGCTAGGGCTATCATATTCTTTATTCCATAATAAACTGGTAGACAGAAGTGTTTCCCCGGGTACTATAAGCCATTCCAGCAAATTATTGAACCCAAGGAGGGAGACATGGCTGGTTAAAAATACAGGTGACAACCTGGGACTTGAGACTGGAGTCTTAAATGGGAGCAGTCTTGTGGGAATTGGGAATTGAACTCTTAAGCAAGATCCGAAGCTCACTCTAGGTAGACAGTATCAGAACTGATGATCAGAATTGTATTGCAGGACACTTAGCTGGTATTACAGAACTGTTTGATGTTTGGAAAACCCACACATCTGGTGTCAGAAGTGTTGTAAGTTTGGTAGTATTGTGAGAGTAAAGGAGAAACACGGGGAGCGTTTTTCCTAGACATATTCTCTTTCATAAAAAAAAAAAAATACTGGTCGTAAACCAATAAATTGATTTCACTTCATCTAATACACTTCCTTCCATTTAATACATTAAGAAACAGAGGCTCGGAGAGTACAGTCACTTGCCCGGGGTAAATCACTGAGCCAGAATTCGGGCCTTTAAGGACACCAGCAGGTTTTGTTTTGGACAGCTTCAGGCAAAACTGAAAAGTGTCCCTGGCAGACTCCCAGCCCTTTCTGCACTCTTGCAGCTTCTAAAGCCAGTGGGCATACCTGCTGGTGAAAAAACTGACGCAGTACATGTGTCCTAGGTTATGTGCAGTAGTCATTTAAAAAATACACGTCCTTTCTAACTTGCAAATGTGATCACTTTAACTCCTTTACTTGCACATTCCCTCAGCCGCTCTTTGTGGTTTTTAGGCCACATATAAATTTTTGGTGTGGCAAGAAAGACTCCTCCCGACCCCACCCCAGGCCTGCTAGCGGGCCACACGCCTCACCACGTCCCCCCAGCCCCTGCCGTGCTCCTTCAAGGGCTCTCCCCATTCTTGCTGTGGCTCCATCATGTTCTGCTGCGAACACCCCCTCACGCTTGCTTCCCACGCCTCTGCCAGAGTATGCGTCTCCCTGTCCCTGGAACTTCCGCTGGTCTGCTGCCTTCTCCCCTGGCCCGGGGCCCTCTCATGAGCCAGGGCCATGGCTTTCTCTTCACTGTCCCTGGCACCTAGCCTGGGGCTCGAGCCGTAAGAGGGAGTTAGTACGTTTCTGTTGAAGTGAACATTGGCATATTCTTATTTTCAAATTTTAATTCTAAATAAACCCCGACTCACTGGAATACGTCAGCTCCCCGAATTTTGTAAAGAGCTGCCTTTTACCAAGCAGATCCTCATTCCCTAACATCTTTAGAGTATGAACAAAAACTATACCAATCTTGGAGGTTTTGATTTCTTTTTTTCTTTATTTTAATACATTTTCCTTGGAGGGGCGGTTAGTCTTGTACTTTTAATCTCCAGCTTGTAGGCTAGGACCCGATGAGCAACACAGACTCTGGCCCTTCCACTGGTCGCTCAACCAACTGATCACCCACACAAATCCCCAGACCCAGCCTTCCCTGAGTCACTAATGAGTGACAAACAGCAACTCTTCTGCCCGTGCCACCTTAGAACATGCCCCGAAAGTGGGTTATCACCCTAAGTCACTTACTACCTGCAGTTAAGGCGGGAAAGAAATCAGAGTGGAAGGGAGAGAATTAAATGCTAGTAAGCACAGTAAGTAACACAGACTGAGCTCACCCGGTGGGGCCTGTGCTGGGCAGTGACGGCTGTTTGAGAGAGGGAATCATAGAGGCGAGGGGGAGGACTGGGTAGAGGGGCAGGGAAGGAAGCATTCCCAGGTGGGAACGAGCATAAGCAAGGGTCAGAATAGGATGTAGGCAGTGAAGACCTGCCTGATCGGGGCGTTTGCGCTGGGCAGGAGTCAGGCCTGAAATGAGGTGGGAAGAGGCAGGTGTGCAGGCGTCCCCACAGGAGCAGGGCCCGCGACCTCATATCCCCCTTGCGCCCCGTGCAGCTTGTGAAGCGCCCCCAGATTTACTTATTGTTTTGATCTTCCCTACGCCCTTGCTAGGTAGGCGGGATAGATAGTGTAGGCTTTTTGGATAGAAATGGTAAAAGACTGAAGGAGGTTAAGAAAATTGGCCTGAGTCACACAGCAAGCAGCTAAACCAGAATCACAGTGTATTTCTCTAGATTTCTCCGTTTCACAAACCCAAGAGTTGGAGTGGGCCTCACAGATCACACAGCTAAACATCCTCGTTTTGCAAATAAGGAAACTGAGAACCAAAGAAGGAAAGCAATTTTTCCACGGCCACACGAAAAGCAGAATTTAGGAGGTTGGCTGGTGGCAGCTCTGACTAGCCTTATTTCAGACTGAAGGGGCTTTGTGTTGTGTTAGGGAGAGAGGAAACCCAGAGGAAAAAAATCCTCATATTCCAGAGAAAGGACTGTTACTTTGACTAAACAAATTCTTTCCCATGTTTTATAACTGTTGGGATGACAGTCTGTTACACAACTGCTTTATTAAAAATGAAAATTTTTAGTAACCAAAAATTAAGGTTTTTTTAACTGAAAAACAATCTGAAAAGAAACAGAGCTGGCTCAGGAGAGGGATCTGTCTGGGGAGGGAGGTCCCCACAACTCACAGGAGCACGTCAGAACTTGTTTCTGCCACTCACAAATTTTCAGGTCTACATCAATAAGAGAAAAAAAATTTTTTAACATAAAAAAAAAAAAATACACACTGGCCCCAAACTGATAGACTACTATTACTTCAGAATCTGTTAGTAAAAAATAACTAATATCTCCAGACAAACACATAATCCAGATGACACAGTATTCTATGTGTGTGCATGCGTGTGTGTGTGTGTATTTTTTTTTTTTTTACCCCAGAAATGACATGGCTTGAGAAACAATTTGCTGAGAAATCTGTGTTTACATTAAGGAGAGTGGGGGCAGGGGGAAATCCCTTGCAGAAGTTGAAAAGATGTTAAGTGGTAAATACCAAAATGCCCAGCAAGCATGAAAGCAGGCTCTCCTTCCAGCAAGAATATGTGCAGCTCAGCGTTTTAAATTTTACTTTTAGCTTTTCTAGCAGTTCACATTAACCCCTTCTCTACTTCCACTCCTCTGTGAGAGTTCAGCCCTTAACCAACAGACTGGAAGCACTGTCTCTGTTCTCTCCATTTGCCAGCAGATAAGCCCTCACCCCAAAGGCTCACCCCAGGGCCACCTTGTGATCCAACACCCCCGTTCCTTACGCCCTGGAGGCCTGGGCCACGGCCCAGACACACGTGAGGAAGTCAGCCCAACTCTTCAGAGCTATACAAAGAATCTGAGAGGGCCCGTTGGGAGACCAAAACAGTAAAATAAATGCCACACTCAAAGCATATCCAGACCAGAGGTTCCCCCAAAGCCTGTGCATCAGACTCCCCCCAGAAGGGCTGTTTCAGAAGATGGCACCTGTGCTGGTACTTGTAAAAGGGCCTCAGTGATTCTAAAGTGCATCCCTCAGAAAGAGACACTGAACTAGATGCTCTAAAGAGCCAACTGCATTTTTCTCTCAGCTTCAGCTCCTATCAAGTTAGAATGAAAGACGAAACAAGTAACTCCCAACCATTCTTCCAGATTAGGTTCATCTTAATACTTTCCTAGCTAATAAACTTATTGACAGACTGGGTGAAAAACAATCAAATATAAGAGAGGTGACCACTTAATGAATGTTTATATAATACTTTACAATATTTTATCATGTATTAATGATTTTGTGTGGTCTCACAGCAACGCTATTAAGCCAGCTTATTATTCTTACACTAAAGATGAAGAACCCAAGTCTCAAAGAAATGAAAGAATGACTTGAAAATGCCCTAATGATGTCAGTATTTCCTTTATTGAGTTAGAGTCATTTTTTGCTATGTATATCGATTTGTGTCTTTGAGTTATTCCTTCTAAATACACAGTTTATCAGGTGCTGCAGACATTTGCTTCCAAGGGGAAAAAAAAATCCATGTCAGAATCTTGGTGAGCTGAAAATTCACAGCACCAGCCCTGTTAAAACAAGCGTCAGACACAGAAACTTTCAGCGTTCTTCATGCTGCCATTTCTAAGCTCCCTGGCTCAATAGAAGACTCTGAAAAACAAGAGCAAAACACAATCCAGGAGAATAAAAGAAGGTTTACTGAGCAGTAAAGACTTATTTCAAGGATATCAATTCTAAAATAAAACCACCCAGTTCTTTGTTGTATGAGTGTCACTTATAGCAAAGTAAATGCTTCCTAAATAATTGGGTACTGGTTGGTTGGAAAATTTTAACAAGTCAGCAATCAGTCTATTAAACATGAAAGCAAACTTAATATATTGTGGGGCCAGCAAGGGCAACACATCTAAGTGTAACAGAGACTCCAGGGCTTTTGTAATAGCAAAACATTCAGTCCAGCCTTTCCTTTTCACCTTGAAGATCGACATTTCATTCATCCTGAGAGGATGCTGCGGCGTAACTCAGAGGTAGATTCAGCCCAACAACTGGCCCGACAATGCTCAGCCAAGACGTGATGTAGTTGACATTCCTGGGAAACAAGCAGAAATACAAGCAGTTCTAACATTTCCATTGTAGTTTGGGTGAGTGATAAAAAATCAGTTATCGACAATAACAGAAACAAGGTTTTCTTCAAAGATGTGTGTCCACCAACTGAAATCCCAGCATTTCCAAATGCCAGCCCAGCATTTCCAAATGCCAGCCCCGTTGATTGACAAGGACTCAAGCTCCCAAAAACACTGTGAGGATCCCTCACTAACAGGGTTGGAGGCATTGGGACCCCAGACATCTCTTCATGATTCCAATTTTACACTTAAAATTTATAGCATTTGCTAAGGTACGAGAATGAAGTGATGAAGAGCCTGGCTCCACGGCAAAATGCCTGCTTTTCCAATTTTCAAATCCCAGTTCCACCACTTAACTAGCTTTGTGACCTTGGCCGAATCATTTAACCCTTCTTTGCTTTAGCTTCGTCCTTCATAAACTGGGTAAAAGAATAGAGCTCAGCTCATAGGGGCGTTATAAAAACCCAATGCATTAATATATCTAAAATAGAACAGCACCTAGCACACAGTAAAAAATCAATAAATGTTAGCCATTATTATTATTACAAAGAATATTTCTTCTTTAGCTTAGCTTTCAGAGTCACACAAAAAGATTTACAATTTTAAAATAAGAGTTAAAGCCAGTGTATCTTGATGGTGTTTCTTACCTATTGATTTTTCGAGAATTCTTTAACACAGGACTCAGGAGTTCATTCGTTTTGCAGGGATGGAGTACGAAAAAGGGCTGCCCCAGTATGGGGTGCTCCTGTAAGAGTCAGAGTGGGTCCCGATCGCCCGGGTGAGTTACTTCGAAAAAGTTAAAATATATAACCTGTTTCACCTCTTCAGAATGAAGGCCTGTTTTAAACTCTCAGTTATTAAATTAAGATACAGATAGATTTCAGTTTTGAAATATAATTCCAAGTCCAACAGGAGGAGGAATGAAACAAAGGTATACATAGAGAAAAGAGTATAGTCAGTTACAGGAGGGCACGTGACTTTGTTTACACAATACAAACTGTAGATAAATTTTATCAGTTCTCTCTCTTTGTCAGCTAGTGTTTCCCTTTGCTCTTTAATTATTCTTTAGTTTTTCCTCAAGGGCATCTGTGAAACCCAGTTAGCCCGACCATCTCAACAATGTATTTCATTCATTGTTAGTGGTAAGGGAACCAAAATCATGCACACTTCATTCTACATAAATTGTGTTACATGTTAATTGTTTCAGGCTTAACTGTACTCAGTGCCATTGGGCACATGTTCAACGGGTAGAACGGGTGCGGGGAGGAGAATGGCTTGAATTATTCAAGTTGATCTCCTTCTCGCTGTCTCTCTCTTTCTGAGTTTCTCTGTTTCTCTCACTTCTCCCTCTCCCAAGCTCACAGGGCTGTTTCTCTAAGTTAAAAGCCCATACCATGGGACTCCTCTGCCTTTATAAGAGAATGACAGTGTATTAGATATAGGTCACACTACTGTCAGGTTAGGGGTGTGGACATCACTTGTCAAGCAATAAGGAGCCCTAGGAGGTTCCCAGGCGGTGAATGATCTATGCTCAAATTCTACCAACGCAAAAACAGTTTTTGATAATAAACTTACTGAGCATTTACGTTGTGGTTTAAACACTATGCTAGAGATTGCAAATTCAAACACTGCCATGCTATGAATGTTTGTGTCCCCCAAAAGTCATATGCTCAAATCCTAATGCCCGGGGTGACGGGGTTAGGGGGTGGGGCCTTTGGGCGGTGATTAGGTCAGGAGTGTGGAGCCCTCAGGAATGGGGTTAAGGAGTTTATAAAAGGGGCTCCATTCAGTATTTGTCTTTCTCTGTCTTACTTATTTCATTTAGCATAATGCCACCTGGGTCCATCCATGTTGTCCCAAATGGTAATATTCCATTCTTCTTTATGGACCAGTGACATTCCATTATATATACCACCTCTTCTTTATTCATCTGTCCATGGGCACCTAGGTTGCTTATATAACTTGGCTATTGTAAATAATGCTGTAATAAACATAGGGGTATGATTTCATTTATATGTGGAATCTAAAAACAAAACAAATGAACAAATAAAAAAAAAACCAACTCAGAAACAGATTCATAGATACAGAGAACAAATTGATGGTTGCCATAGGGGAATGGGGGAGGGGGGGAAGTAGGTGCTAGACAAAAAAAGGTGAAGGGGAATCAGGTACAAACTTTCAGTTATATAATAAGTAAGTCACGGGATATAACGTACAGCACAGGGAAAGTAGTCAATAATATAATATCTTTGTATGGTGACAGGTGGTCGGTTACTAGACTTATTGGGGTGATCACATCGTATGGTATGTAAATGTCAAATCACTATGTTGTACACTTGATATGAATATCATATTATATGTCAACCATACTTTAAGAAGTAATGAATTCTTTTAAAAAGCAGCCCCGGAGAGCAAACTTGCCCCTATCCACCATGGGAGGACACCAAGAAGCCCTGGGACTGGGACAGGGCCCCCAGGAGAAAGTGCTGGGACCCGGATCTCACTCAGACGTCCAGCCTCCTGGACTGGGAGAAATAAACGTCTGTTGTTTATAAACTACCCAGCCTGTGGTATTTTGTTATAGCAGCCTGATGATACTCTGACGGATACCCGCGAAGAGAAGGCAGGTGAGCGGAAGGAGCGCGGTGAGTTAAATGCCGCAGCAGGGACGCGGTCCAGGAGAGGGCGCCCAGCCCAGGCTGTCCGTGCTCCTCTGCTCCTGCCAAGCGTGATGCGTGAGAACGCAGGTTCAGTGTGTCCGGCCTTCCCGTTTGTCAAAATAACCTAGAAATCCATATTTTTATGTAAAACCTCCTCAATTTAAATGTTGGCACAATTTAAAAAAAAAACAAAAACATATTGTGGGCCAAATCAAACACGCTTGCAGGCTGGATTTGGACTAGGGGCTGCCTAACATCTGGCTTCTCCTCTTCTCGGCCAGTCCAGGGAGAAGCTGAACTCAGCACTCTGCATGCGAAGACTTATTTGTGGTTGTCTCTGCTGCCTGTACCCACCAGCCTCCCAACAGTCATGCGTTTGTGTATGTGCACACGCCCGCTCACAAGAAATGGGAGGGACGGTTCCCCTAGTATTGGAGACTCTGGGTGTGGGCATTTTGGAATATATACGTGTGGTGAGTGTGAAGTGATCCACCTGGTATGGGTTGGTGTTATGTCTCCTCAAGAGCCACCTCCAAATGTCTCCGCGCTGTGGCCTGATCCTCACAGCAGAGCCTAAGCTCCCTCTCTCCAGCTCTCCCCTTACCCTTGTCCCCAGTCCTAACCAGACTCCGGGGTCACAGCCCAGAGGTGGTAGGCCTATAGCAAGTCCTCCGTCCAACTTGATTCTGGCTTCCTTTACCTGCCTTAAGCTAATATTTATTAATGCAACACATATCTATTGATCATCTCTTATGTATCTGTCAGGAACAGTTCTGGGCATAGTTATAGAGATCACCGTATCTCAAAGATCAACAAAATCCCTGTCCCATGAACTTATGTTCCATTGCAGGGGACAGATAATAAACACAACGAACAAGTAATAAACAAGATAATCCATTTAATAATAAGTGCTATGAAAGACATAAAACAGGTTAACATGGTTCTGGGGGGGCTGTGGTGATGTTTACACTGGGTGAAAGGGAAGGTCTTGCTGAAGAAGTGATCTTTAAACAGGGATCAGAGTGACAAGACAAAAACAAGCCCGAAGAGCCCTGGGGACAGGGTGTTCACGGCAGGAGACTGAAGAAGGACATGTGCATAGAAAAGGAAAAGAATTTTAGGATTGTTCTGGACTAAAATAATTACTGTCGGAGGGTAGGCATTTAAAAAGCTAATTTAGTCTACATTCTTTTTGGATTATAAAGAGCTGTAACCGAATCTTACTGAGGAGAAGGCATATCACCTTCTCTAACAAAAAATACCTAGACCTCTGAGGATGGCATTAGATAGAAATGGCCTCAGTGCGGAGTCAGCTCAACCACAAAGCCTCCCCTCCTCCTCAAGGCTCACTGTCCCTTGGGGTCCTTTGAGGATTCTCATGGCCACTTTCATGCTCATGGGGAATCTCCTCCAGCTTTGAACACGTGAGTCCATACTCATGGCTGAGGTAGACAGACATTCAAACAAGACCACTGAAAGCCAGGAAATAAGAAAACGGTAATAAACACACAAAGCAACCGGGCTCTCAAACATCCAGGTGGTACAGCACTGGGGGGCCCAGGCTCATGTGGGACACTGGGAGAGACTGTGGCTGGGCCTTCCCTTTCGGGCCTACGTGGATGGAGCACTCACAGCCACCACCCACGGCTATCCCCCAAGAATCTGACCGCATTACACTTCAGTTTCAAGGACCTGGTAACTCATGAGGAATGGCTTCATCATAGCATAAAGAACATGCCTCTTCCTGCCAGGCCTATGGCCTGACCTTTACAGGACCTCAAAAGAAGAACCATATCCGAGTATGACACACATCCTGGAGACACATGCGCACTTGTAGTTCAGGGGACCATTGCCTAAGCAGATGTAGGCCCATGTCACACAGCAGCTCGGCTCATTTGATACTTCTTCGTAAAGACCTGGACTTTGCATCTACAAGTCATCTTTTGCTCAGTCCGTATAGCAAATGGATAAGCACAGACATGGGCTCTGCAGTTGCGACTGTTTCAGGGCAAGTTCTGCTCTACTGCTTAGTAGCTATGAACTTTTGGGCAATCTCCTTAACCATTTTATGCCTCTATTTCTTCATCTGATAGCTGGAACTAATAGCATCTATCTCATAGATTGATTATTATCCTTCAATGAGAAAATGCTAGAAAAGTGTTGAAAATAATGCCTGACATAATAAGCATTTAGTTGGCTATTATAATTTAACCCACTGATATCTAAACAGACAAGGATGTGATAGCACAGAGACATCCACAATAAGACCTGACATCTTATGATAGAGCTCAATTTCAATATCTAAAAACAAAAAGTTCCTACAGAGTTATGCAGGATGGTGAAAATATTACTAATATCTATATGTTCAGGAACATTTGACAACTGATTATAACCAAAGGCAAGACAGGTGCTAGTAAAAAAAAAAAAAGTCTGGGTTTACATTTATTGCAACTAGAACTATCAATATATTGGTATTCAGGAAGAAATTAATGGGAAATAATGTAAATGAATTTAAAGTAAAATAAAAGCTCAGGTACTTCAAAAACACTTCGGTAATCTACAACATTTTAATACTCATTTTTCCTCAAACAACATAAAACAGTCATCTTAGCATTTTAATACTCATTTTTCCTCAAACAACATAAAAACAGTCACATTAGCACTTAAGGTTATGTTCTAACAAAATAAAATGCATGGTAATGCTCATATGAAATATCTTTTTAAATAGTCGAGACTTTCATGTTTCCAAAGAGCTCTTAGAACAGATTGGACATTTCCTCAATGCATAGTTGATTACCTGGGGCGGGGGGGACTGAATTTTTTAACCCTTTACTATATTGATAACTTATATCTGCATAATTAGACAGAAAATATTAACATGAATAACTGTCTTTAAATATCAAAAGTTTAAATGGGATTTTAAATTATGTTGTTTTGGAAAGATGCTGTTGCTTTTAAAAAGCAAGCTATGAAATGTTGATCCAATACAATAGGATTTACAAGAAGGCATATTTGTATAATCTTTTAAGAACAGTTTTATAGATAGATAATAGGAGTAGATTTCTAACTGTAGCAGAATGTAGAG